ATGTGTCATTTGTGGACAATATTCCATTATAAATTATTTTGTACAATAATTTATGGAGAATAATGATCTAAACTAATATTCTGAATTGTGAAATTATGTAACATACAGCAAATGCATAAAATCATTTCTCAAAATTGTAAACGGAATTGATTTGTGTTATACAATTATTTGAAATTTTAGACCAAATCGTTTGAAAACATATATCCATAAAATTTATCGTAATTTATTTCTTATATCAAATTTAAAGAAAAAAAATCTATAATTTAGGTGTTTTGAAAAATATTGAAAAATGAATGACTATTTTTTCCAAAAACCTATTATAAGATAAAAAGATATAAACGCGGATGTGCGGATTAATATCTAACAAATGGTTGGTTATATAAGAAGACTTAAAAACAATAATTCAATCATGAGATGGAAAAACTACATTATTCTCTCTTATATTTAAGTATTTTTATTTATTTTATTGATAAAAATAATATGAGGGTATGCAGGTGGTCTATAAATTTTTATTGTGTCTCCAAGATAAATTTTGGTAATAGTCATTTAAAACTTTAGACAAAATTAATATCTTAAAATTTAGTGTATACCTCAAATTATAATGATTGATTGGCTTTTGCTTCGGCTCCATCATTCTAATGGTATTTTCATTTTAAAAATCAGACAACTATCTATCATATTAAACCATGAATCTAATTTTTTTATTCCCAGAAAAAGTATTCACCAAATAAATTATGTTTTCTTTAACAATATGACATGGTTTGTTAAATTTTGGTAATAGTCATTTAAAACTCTGCACATAAATAATATCTAAAAAATAGTTTATAATCCAAATTATAAAGATTGATTGGCTTCAGCTCCGTCTATCTAATGATTTTTTTCATTTTAGAAATCATACAACTATTTATCATATTAAACCATGAATCTAAATTTCTGCTTCCCAAAAAAGTAATCACCAAATAATTATATTTTCTTTAACAATTAGACGTGATTGTTAAAAAAGTCAAGTTGTAGAATTTCTCTTAATTATGCAGTTGACCAAACGGTCACTAATTTTCCCATTTTTCCCATTCTATCCAACTAATTAACTTTGACTTTTCTACTATTGTATACATCCCCTTATTATTAAAGAAGAAGCAAAATAAATGAATAACCTTACAATGATAAATTATTTTCATGTATGCCATTTTGTATATGTGTCATCATGAGAATCATTCTCAACCTCTTTTAATTTTTACCCTTTTATAACTAGATTATTTACTTAAGATGCCATTGGACTACTATGATAAATAATTTGAGGATGCTTATTTTGTATAGTTTTACCATATTTACTATGTGATATTCCACATCTGATTATAAGCATGATTTCCCTTATATGCATTATAGTTATAAATACACAGTTTTTTCAACATTTTTTAATTATATTCATCAACATCGTTCTTAGAACCATAAACAAAATTGTGAAATACTATTAGTTAATTTAGTTATTATAAGAATATTTTCAAAACTCATATTCACCGTAGCCTACATAGAACATATAATTGTTTTCTATCATTGACATCGAGTCCTATACAACATCATACGTCGAGCAAGTATTCTAAAACATCATATCAAATTCAAAATATCTAAGAGACACAACATAGAATAATTATGGGTTGTTTTTATTTTTACATATGACGCCAATCACTAAAAAATCATTTTGTATATTATATGTTCTATATTCTTATAAAAAATTTCAATTCATTTTTTTAAGAAAATTTTGAAATTTCTCTTTTCTGACAAACCAAACTTTTCCACGATCTTTAGCACAACACTCTTACAAAATCTTTAATTACTATGTCATATATAACATTATGTATCTTAACCAGCATATCGTTTAGATTATAATATGATGTTTTGCATTATATTAGAACACATCCTATGAATACTTCAAAATGGCGACGGAAAAAGACTACATTCAATGCTTTCTTTTCTTTGACTAAAATTACATTTAATGTTCATACAAATCTTAAAATTTATAGGCTTTAATCTATTAGTTAGGAGGAAATCATGTGCTTGATCTATGGAATTTGGCCATAGATGGATACACATGTTGTATTCAAAAATTTAATACTCCTAACGTAAAATACGGTACAAGCTTTGTTCCATAAAAATATAATTATGGTTATATATTCCATTGAATAAGAATCTCATTTATTATAAACTATATTTTAAGAAAATTATGTTGTTTTTTGTTAGCATAATTAGGAGTGGGAATTTGGATTTGTTTTGGATCTATTCGGGTTTCGAATTTTTGGATTTAAAGATTTTAACTTTATTCAGGTATTTATAAATTTTGGTTCAGTTTCGTTTTGGGTTTGGATAATCTGTTTATATTATTTTTAAATTTAAATTCATATATACTTTTATATTCTCAGAATCTAAAAATAAAATAATATATCACATATAAATTTGAGTAATGTATGTCAAATATTTTTGGATATTCTGATTATTGTTTAGCTATTTTATATATTTATTTTTTACTATTTTTAATATATTCAAATATCTTCGACAATTTTAAAATATCTTATCATTTTTGGATATTAAATCTAAAAAAACAATAATATTCAAGTATATAAGTCTCTTACGGATATCTCAAATATTTTGGCTCTAATCAGATTTGGTTCCAGTTTTCTAGATTCCAAAATTATGAACTCATTCTGATATTTAACTGATTTTGGTTTGGATTCTCGGCACTACCTTTTTGGATCGGATTTAGTTAGGTTCTTTAGATTTGGATTTTTTTGTTCAGCCTTGACATAATATTAATTTCACCCCGTGCAAAGCACGGGTCTCTACCTAGTTTATATAGTATAAAAGTCATACATTAACATTGTAGTATGTAGAGGCGGATCCATGTAGAAATTAAGAGTGTTAAATAATATAAATTTGCTTTGTAGGAAATATCCAATGTATCAATGTAGCTCAGCTTGTTAAAAACTAAAATCCCAAGGCCCGGGTTCCTTCCTTGTTTTGCACTCAAAATATTTATTTATTTTGTTAACTTACAGGTCAAAAGCCTAATCTCTTTTTGTTTAGTTTTAGTTGGCCCTAAATTAGATTTTTGGGCTGGATAAAGTTTAGTTTAGTTGTTTTTTGTTTATTTATTTGGGTTTCCAGACTTAAATTGAACATCTGTGTTACTTTTGTTTTTATAATTTGAAAATTTAGCACCACTGACAAAACATTTATATATAATATTTTCATTTTAAATAAGAAATACGCTAAATTTAAAATTTACATTATAATCATTATTTTAATAGTAGTTTTAATTTTTTATTTAAATTGTTACTTAATATTTTAAAAATTAATTAAGTTTATTAATGACACTGGTAAAAAGCCTTTATGGATTGCCAGTGGTAGTATATATGTTTCTATATAAAAACCATAGACTAAGGTGGATTTGGAAATAATTTGTTTAGCTTATATCAGTTGTGGATTACGCGACTTTGCAATTAATTATATAGTTGTAAGAGCATGAAAAATAAAAAAATTGTATGTTCATATTGTGTAGCCTATTAAATAGAGGGTAAACAAAAATGCCAAGAACATGACAAATGATATATAACAGAGAAAATTACAACCACAAATATTTTCTGACATAATTACACTTTAACATCCTTCTAGCATTTAGTGTACTTTTATCATGTGAATTTTTTTAATTGCCTTTCAACTAAAGTAACCAAAACCATATTTATAGGAGTATTCTATTCAAGTTTTCATTTTTCTATTTATGTCATCTATGTTTCCTTTCTTTTTCTTTCAATTATCTTTCCTTTTCTTTCACTTGAACGAGAGAAAAATTGACAATGGAATGAAAAGTTAATTTTATCTTATTCACATATTTCCGGTGAGAAAATATAATGAATTAAGGATTGAGGACTTACTTGTAATTGTGAAATAGAAAACTTAAAACTACTATTTCAAACTAATGACAAAGAAAATGAAAAATTAACGCCGGTGATGAAATGCTTGTTGATTGTAGTTGTGTTTGCGGCAAAAACATGAAAAAGTGATGGTTGATTGATATTATGTTGAAAGGTTTTGATCCGGCCAGAAATAATTTTGACATTGATGTACATATCCATCTACAACTACAATCACAACCACACTGATATCCCATTCCACTCACATTTTTATCACAAATGACAATTTATGAGGAGGTAAAATTTATACATGGGATATATGGTATTATAGACATGGTTAATGAACATGTGATCCTTGATTACCTGAATATTAGATGACGAGCTTATAAAAACATATCCACTAAATATATGCAATGCAATTTTGTTTACGATAAGAACATCAAGAACATATTTTCATTCTTAATTAATAATCATTCGTCAACAAATCTTTCATCCATAACTAATCTGCTTAAAAAAAAGTTTCCACAATTTCTTTGTCCATAAGTTGTTTAACCATTTACCTACTGTCCATACATCACTTGTCCATAAAAAAATATATGTTAATTACTAAAATATAACAAAATGTTAAAATAAAGATTAAAAAAAACTGATTGTAATTAACAAATTTTTATATGTATTTTAAATTTTGAAATATAAACAAATATAAATATAATGGATGAATGATAATATAAAAATGAAAATATATGTATACCTCTAATCCAAAGGATTCTAGATTGTAAAGATGCCTCCACAAAGTATGTCATATTGTAATGTTCTCTAAATAACATTATTGTGGAAGTCGTATTAAAACAAGAGATCCCTTAAAACAATACTATTTGTTGTTCATTTCGTATCTAAGGTAACTGAAAAGTAAAACCAAAACGAGAGTTAAAGAGACTAGAACCAATGGGATACTTCTGAAAGCACCCCATGATGGTGGACGACCTTAGTATATTATACGGAAATCAAGATAGCTTTCGTAGATCACCTCCTTTTTGAGATTTTCTTCTAGGCCTTTTAATTATAAACATGGTCATTGTCTTAATATTTTTAGCTTAAATTGGTTTAGTTGTTGAGGAAACGCCAACGTTAGGTGAGAATTGCAAAAGAAGACAAAAGAGCAAAACTATCAAGTCAATATTTCTTAAATTTACAGTCAATTACAAGTCTAGAAACAAAAACAGGTGAGAGATACATACGTTTCACCAAGGCTACTTACTCTTTAGAAGCTGTTTCAGTCCAATATCAATACTTACTCAGCCATACATATACTAAAACCAGAGTGGTATCGTTGATATTACCTGAAAAATAAAACAAATGGGTAAATTACCAACATTACATTGCCATAAACTGGTTACATTTCCACCATATTGGTAAGATTACGACATGCTAAGTTTAATTAACGACATAAGTTTTAATTAGTACAGCGTTACACGTTCCTAATAAATGCGTAACGAGTTCCTAACAAAAAAAGGGATGCATATTCAGGTTCTGATAACAAGAATTTGTCAACAGTGTCTAGCTAAACAACCATATACTTGCCAAACATGTATAATTGGTCTATCAACCAAGCAGTATAAGAAATCAAAGAAAGGAACAGGTTTAAGGATGTATTACCGTTTCTTTACTTTATAGGGTCAGCTGCTCGATATTCTTCGTATTATGTGACATCATATGCCCATTTTTTTGCTCCTCCTGCTCTTCACATGGGTTTGCTCTATAAGTGGAACTTGCCTCCTCGTTATCTGAAGACCCTGGCCTTTCTGTTAGGAACTGTTCCCAGAATACATCATTCACTCTAGCCGGAGGTGCTGCATTTCCTTGTTTACCTCCTCCACCTGCAACCTCTTGCTGACCCCGGGTTTTCTCAATTGCACTTGTTTCTACTGCGTTGAAGTTTAACTCGGTAACTCTTCCAATCTCCTGACTTTTATGAGTTGTCTTAGCCATCAAGGAAGCTGTCTTGTCTGGTAATGGAGCAGAAGCCAGAGTAAGATTCAAATGACATGAAAAGCTACCATCAGTCTCCTCTGAAGATGTTATCCTCTGCTGCAAGGGCTCCGCGATAGTGTCTTCATGTAACAGTAATATCCCAGGGCATGACCCAGTATCCGCAAGCTCTAGTGCTTCAGGTGTAAATGGTAAGCCTTCCTTTCTCGCTTGTGAAAGTTTTGGATCACTTCCTGCCTTGGGACTCGCCCCTTCATTGGAGCTTTGTATACTGTGTGAAACCATATTCATATCCGAAACAGCAGGAGAGAGCTCTAATCTCAATTTACTTGAGAAGTTCTGATGGAAAATGTTTCCAGACTCGGGTCTCGAGCTACCACTGCTATTATCCAAATGAGAATCTTCTGAAGGTGGCTTTGATTGCTCAACTTGAGGGAGCCTCCGCTTTTTGCTGTACGCTGAAACATCCAGCTCCTCGACTTTACGGCCAAAGTTCTTGATAAAATTAGGATTCCGTATGGCCGTCTCCAAGAAACTCATCAGCTTCTCTTGCCTCCTCTCCATATCGTCAACATGCTCAGCCATTTCGTCTAAGCTATGCTTCGCGGTGGACTTGTGCTGTTTGAACTTCAAAAGCTTGGCTTCAATGGCAGCTTTTTCACGTGAGAGCTTGTCCATCTGCTCTTGCAGGGAGGCTCTTTCTTGATCCACGGAGGACGGAACAGGCGGATGACTGTGGCTGTGTATAGGCTTCCTTCTGTGTATGTTCTTGAGAAGATGCTTCTGATCTTTGAGAAAATCGTCATTCGAAAACTCCCACCTCTCCGGATCAATCTTCCGGAATCCCTATTAACAACAACACATTATTGGACAATTAGTCAAAATCGAAATCCCTAATTTCAAATTTAGGGTTGAAGGGAGATGACTCTCTCTCTCACATAGGTATTGAGCTGGCGGATGAAGGAAGAGAAGTTGTTGTGCTTGAAGTAGGTTGGGAGAAGGAGGCGTGAAAACTCAGCATGGTTCCAGACGATGAAGCTGTTGTTGTTGGAGCTCCACGATACAATCTCATCCGTCGACGAATCATCTACCATCTCGTACGTCTTTACCAGGAAAGGCGCAGGTCCTCCCGCTCCTTCTCCGCCACCGCTGACGGAGGCGGATGAGTTACCACCTAATGCGCCGTTCATCTACGGATCTAATCGATGGCGATTGCAGATGTTTAAGAGTTGAGAGAGATCCTTTGCCGTAAATAAATACCTTTTTCTTTTCTTTTATTTTGATCTTTTATTTATTAATACCTCTTTCTCCTACATTAATATTTTATACTAAAAAAAATTACCACATATGACTCGCAATTTGATTTCAAATGCAAAAATAAATCATTTTTTTTACGTTTCTAACCCCGGCAAGTCTTCTATCCAAACGACTTTCAAGTAAGATATAAAGTTTAAAAGTCGTTTAGTATAGTTCTTCTTAAAAATAATTTAAAAGTTTTGTAAAAAATATTTTGATAAGTGAAAAATTGAAATCATGTAATTAAACATATATTTTAAGAGATATAAATCAGGATATAACGAAATTAATTGTTTTCAACATAGATGAGTGAAAGTAGTGAGTCATATTATTCTTTGGTTTAGGTTTTGCTAACATATATTTAGTATTGTATGTGTTCTTAGCGTTAGATTTTGGAAAGCATAAATATTTTTTTGAAAAATTTAATTTACCTAAGTGTATTTATTTCTGTGTATAGTAAACACTATTTAAGCATAAGTTGATTTTATAATGTGGTTTGTTAATTAATTTAGTCAATTTAGTTTAGGGTTTAGGGTCTTAAGTCGTCTGATGTATAATATTCAACAGATGACTTACTAGTAAGTCGTCCAAATCGGACCGAACTTTAGTTTTACCAATGTACTTTTAAACCTAACCGGATTATTTACCGGACATATATAAGATGTTTTTTAATTCACTTTTTCATGAAATTCAGAAAACCATAACACTGTTTCTCTCAAAGGTGATTTCGAAGGCGATTTCCGTCGATTCTCTCTAATCCATCGTTCTCACCGTCGGTTATCTCTCCATCGTTCTCACCACCATTCTCACCGCCGCTTCCTCTATTTCAGATTTGAGAGGAAACCATATCGCCGTTTCTCTGTAAACTCTAGCGTCGTTTCGTGTCTTGTTCGCACCGCCGGCTCTCTGTAAACCCTAGCGCTGTTTTGTGTCTCATTCGCACCGCCAGTTCTCTGTAAACCCTAGCGCCATTTCTCTGAGAGGTGTCCCGTTGAACTCCGCCGCCGGTAAGTTATATCTCTTACTGTCGAGTGATTGATTGAGGAAAAGATGAACATAAAACGTTGTCTCTATCAATTTATGACTTAAGATGTATCTATAGTTTTTCTCTCCGTGCTTCTTTTTCACGTCTATTTTTTCAAATCTATAACCGATGTGTCGGAGGCGACTATATCTTCTCCGAATTTTCAGGTCGGCTTTAAAATGTTCTACTAGAAGTCATAGAAGACTTATAATTAAGTCATCTGGAAAGTTTTCCACACTTATAATTAAAATGTTATACTGGATGGTTGTGTGTTCGAGATGGTTGTCTTTGATTGTTTTGCAGACAAAAAAAACTGGATATTCCAGAACTCCCCTAAAGGATACATACATTAGAAGAAGAGCCCCCCCCCCCCGCACTGAAGAGCATTTCATATCATATGGATTGTTCAAAGTTGCATACTGCTTTAAAGAATGCTCTTCATGATAACGGATATGTAGAGCTCAAGGAGTCGAAGTTGGGAGTTTTCATCAAATTCAAAGAGCTGGGATTTGGTTGGGCTTCAAGGCTGGTTCACTAAATGTTCGGTCTCCAGTCCAACATAAAGAAGAAGTATGAGCTGTGGTGTCCCGTTGGTCCACAACATGCGAGGTTTTCATAGTTAGAGTTTGAAAACTTCACTGGTCTAAACTGCGAGTACATAGAGGACCTTGAGAGACCGAACTGTGTTGTTACAAAGGAGTTGGTTTCTTTCTGGCAGATGTTGGGAGTTGATGTCAAAGCTGGGCCATCTACTCAGCAGATAATAGCAACATTTGAGAGATGTAAAGGGTGGTCTCGGGATGATCACAAGCGGCTCGGGTACCTTGCCATCTTCACTGAATACATTGAAGGGAGAAAGGGCTCAACCCTTACACGGGCTAGTCTGGTAAAGCTAGTGATGGAGTTAGAACGGTTTGAGAATTATCCATGGGAGAGAGGCGAGTTTAAGGTGTTGATGGACTCTCTGAAGGGCAAAGATATTACAGGTTATTACACCGTTGATGGGTTTGTACAAGCTCTCCAGGTCTGGGTGTACACAACTCTGCTGGAATTGGGTGTTAATTATGGTAATCCCATACCAAACAGACCGTCTTCACCGATATTGGCTTACATGGGTAGCAAAGGACACATATACTTTAAAGATGCTATCTGCAGACAGGTATTTAAACTTCAGTCCAAAAGACTTCGGAGAAGACTTATAATTAAGTCGTCTGGAAAGTCTTCCAACTGCAAAAGTCGTCTGAGAAAAGTTAAATATTTAAGTTTTATTTTTCAATTGCAAAACTAACCTGAGATGACTTACAGTAAGTCGCCCAGCTTTAATAAAATATTGAAATTTTTGTTTTCCCATAGACGACTTACTGGTAAGTTTTCCAGGAAAAGTTAAATATCTGACACAATTCGGTCAATTACAAAACTAACATGTTTATTTTAGACGACTTATTGGTACGTTTTCTAGGGTATTCTCTAGATTTTTATTTAACAAACAAAACTGATGACTTACAAGTAAGTCATCCGTTTGACCAGAAGACTTGCCCGCAAGTCTTCTACAGCCAGACGACTTACGGGTAAGTCTTCTACGCGAACAGATCTGGAAAAAAAAATTCAATTTCATATCTTAAATTAGTGAGATGACTTCCTTAGTACACAGAGTCTTCTCCAACCACTCAGAACCTCTAACGAAAGTAACACACCAAGAATAGTATGCTTGAAGGGCTATCAACCATAAAAAAAAAATTTGAATAAAAACTTGAGTTTTTTAGATGAATATGGAGGAAAAGTGAAAGAGATTTTGTTTTTAGTTCATAACAATTGGAAAAGAGAGTGTGTAAATTGATTTTAGATGCATTAAGAGCTTCAAATTGGTTATTCATAGTGGTTGGTGTATTGATGACAATGGCAATCTTGTAAATACTCAAAGATGATAAGGTTGAGAGAGTAAAATAGCCATTTTCAAAAAGAAAACAAATCTAATGGTATTTTCGTAAATAATGTGAATATGTGGGGTGAATAGGGCAAAAAAATGGAGATGTTAGTTTTGTGTTTGACTTTGAGGTTTGAGTCAAATTTGCAAAAAAAAAAAAACCATTTATACTAATCCCTATTTTAAACTTGAAATGAACTAAGGAAAATGATGAATTTTAATGGACTTATTGAGTCAAATATTTTTGATTTGTTCAGGTAAATTTGTGATCACGAGTTTATAGTAAATAAACAATAATTTAATATGGGTAATTCTTTCAAATACACATTTTCAAGTTTTTTATCACAAATATAGATCTCAAAAACTAAAATGATTAAATAGTATTTTTTATTTTGAAAATTTTAAGTTTTTTTTTTAATTTATTTTTTTAATTTAAAATTCTATCTTCAAAACCCACTCATCAAATCTAAACAAAAAGGTTTAGGATTAGTTAACTCAAATAACATAACTGTATATTTACTTTTTTGATAAAATATTTAAATCTATTTTTTTATTTTTAAGGTCTATATTTATGACAACATTTTTTTTTTTAAGTTTATCGTAGAGAATTTCTCATTTAATATTCTTCTTGGATTTCTAAATTACTATTGTTAAATAAAATTTCCTCCATTCTTAAGTATTATTTTATTTTGTTTACAAATATTGAGAATATTTTAACGCTGAGTTTTCTAATATTATATGTTTATTTATTTGAAAAGATAATTTAAATACACAGTGTAGTTAGTAACATGATTTATTTGGATTTCATAAAAAAATTATGCTATGGTATTTTAGGAAAATAAATAAATATAAACAATGATACTGATTAAATATATTTGTGAAATCTATATTAGCCTTCTAATTTAACATATACTATAAGTTATATAACTTTAATATCAACAAAAGTGATTCTTTAGAATCAAGAAAAAATAAAAAATATATTTTTTAATACAATTTTGCTTAGCAAAAATTAGTTTCCACATCTCCATTGCACACAATAGTTAGCAAAATACCCTCTTCTTTGTCCTCACAAAATCAATATCGATTTTTAGTACCCTCCCATTGTATGTACTTTAAACAGAAAAATAAGATTTTCATGTCAGAACATAACTGATATCTAATGCCAAAACCCTCTTTTTACTTAATTAAGACCATGATTAATCACAGTCTCTTAACTAGAGTTTTTAGTTTCGACTAAAGACGGTTCTTAGGATTCTTAAGTAAGAATAGTCTCTTAAATAAGAGATATAAAAGCCGTCTCTTAGCCAGAAAAAGTAAAAAAAAATATCATATCATGAGTTAAGAACCCCGGCGAAGAAACCGAGGTTAATCATGCCCTAATGGATTTTAGATTTCTCTCTTCTCTCTTTTCCTCTCATGTTTTTTTCCTCTTTTTTCTTTTCAACTTTATGCAAACTATGTCAAATTAAATTCTTCTTTAGTTTTATATTTGCTACCGATTATACAATGAATTTTTCCTTGTTCATCATTATTTCTCATGTATCACACAAACATTGATTCCAACTCTACTAATCCTTCATAGACTAATTGTATCATAGTCTTCACCATCTCTTTATTATATCATGAAAAATTCACAGCTCGAATGAGAGAACATTACAAATAGTCGAAGAATCGGCAGTCTCTGTCAGTCATCTAATATCCACCGCCACACAAGTTATCACATATACCACCATCAAATTAGTAAGAAGTCTCGATTTGTAGAGTGTCTCTACTTCAAGGTGAGTTTCAAGATGATCCCTCCCGAAGTTTCTTTATGTGAGAAAACATAACCGCCGAACTTTCTCAAGCCAAATGTGGAGAATAGATGAGCTTGTTCGTGAATTTTTTGTTCTATTTAGATAACATTTATATTACCCGATATTATTTATTTTTAGCAAAGCCTTAATAGTATATTGAAATACATGTTTTGTTAGTAGTTACAATCATGTTCCAAAT